CACAAACAGATTAACTAAACTTATACATGTACAGTACTAAATATAACTGCCAAGTACAGGCAAACCCAAAATAGAAACAATATCAACACAGAGCAAAAAATGAAGAAATATAAATAAAAACAAATAATCCACCTAGGGAACACTAATATAATTGTAAAACTTTAAAGAAATATAAAAAAACAGATAACGAAGCTAGATCATCTACCAGGACATCTATCTAGATCTTTTCCCTTATTGAGAACGTGCCCTCAAGGGAGACAATGTTTATGCTAAATACGTCCAATAACAATAATAATGTCGGAGGAGAGACGGAAACTACTAAAAATAAGTAATTGTTTATCAATTAAACCCAAACCTCGCGTAAAGAGTATTTAATAATCCAATCCTTACAGCAAAGAAAAAGGCAAACTTCACTATACGAAGATCAATTGTTGAAGGAAATAATCATACGTAACAGAAATTGTGACTTATTGGCTGTCAAAGCAGCTGGGACATATAGTTACCACTAGATTTTGAAGGATTAAACAACAACTGCCTAAGATATCGATACTTGTAGGACGTTTTAGCTCTCCGTTTTGGTGCAACTTCTATGGAGTATGAGTAAGGCCAGTAGTCTACCTGCTTTCTTGCAGGCGAACAACCGCTACGGAAAAAGCAGTGCGATTAAATTTGAGGTGTTTAGATTGTTCGATTCTTCAATCGATCTGAACAGAGTTTTTACACCCACAGCGACAATACGACAAAATCAGTAACACATGTTCTGTGCTGTATATTCTGGGACCCCTTTTTAACATTATAGGCTGCAGTTTGTTGTGTAATTAATTTTGTGTATTAAAATAAAATTTTTAATAGTATATCAGCCCAATCAATAATGAAATATTATTGATGATAAATGAGATGGTTAAAGTTCTAATTACATCTGTATCTAAGCAGAATACCATGAATATTTCTGGGGACGTGGAAATAACACTCAACGTATTCTAGATTCGACAGGGCACGGACTAGAATGATCAGTACATATACATAATGTAACTTAGTAACATGTTCTTTACAACAAAGAAAATAATATTAGAAGAAATCTAAAAAGAATATTCAAAAAATGAGAGATTAACCCGAGTAGGATTCGATCATATGCCCATTTGTAAGAGTCCAAGATTTTTGTGAGCCAAATTCTATTTTATTGTTCATTTACCTGGAAAATTTATAGGACTGAGAACTTGCAATACAAAAGTAAGCTTCGTGTTTTACCCAGACTCCTTGCTTACATTTAACACGTCTACGAATGCACCATCTAAGAAGATTCCATTAATACTGAGCTCGCAGCAGAAGATTTTTACGTCTTTCACCAGAATGTAAAATCTCGTTAGTAAAAACAAAACTGAATATAAACAGCCTCTTTCACTATCTATAAAATGCGGAATCGGAAAGAGTTATGAACAAACATAAACATTCCTAAACATAAAAATTTTGGCCAATGTGTGTCTGCTTACGTTGATTAAAAATATTACCGGGAAATATTGTAAAACGTTAAATTGAAAGTAAAGGATTTTCAGAGGGTTGGAACCCCTGAAATGGTTCAGTTGGTACCCGAGCCCTTGGGCAACCACACAGTCGACGCCCGTGTGAAGGGAAAGTAAGTTTACAGCATCTCCATTATGACCAATATTAAAAGAAACAAAGCAAATTGTACGGAGCCTTCAGTTAACTATAACCATGTCTGGCTTACCATATTGTAGAAATGTACAGAATATTTGGTACATCTAATTTATGGCAAAAAATCCAAACATGTAACCGAAAGTGCTTTGATTTTCACGCTTGTCGCTCTCAAACACTTTTAATCCCGAGAGACTAGAAAGCGAAATAGCAAAGTAGTGTCCACACATTGATTGCAGATATTTGAATTTAACTGAATTTACTTACGTCAGTGAAGACTAAAGGTCTCTGCTATTTTAGATATGACGAAAAATTCGTTATCGTCTGTTTGTTGTGTCCTTGGAACATTCACCATTTAGAAGCTATTGCACATTTGTACTCAGAATTTGTACTTCAGTTGACATGCAAATAACACACTACTAAGAAAGTCTACTATCAAAGCAAATAAATTTCAGGCATCAAATCGTACCTTCACAAAGACCAAAAGACAACTAAATGGAATAAACGCGTTCCGGTACTGAATCGGGTGAAATTGGGGAGGTGATGGTAGTTGGACTTTATGATTATTCCTCTGTGACTCTCATTCCTTCCGGCCACCGAATGTAGCTTGCTCATCCCCGTATCTACACGGTGTTTAACAAATGATTACATGCCTCAAAGCAAAATAAATTTGTGTAACAACAGTACAAGCTAAATTCACTATAGAACACTCTGATACTTCAGCAACAATCACTTCGCATCACTGCGATAAGACGTAACAAGGAAATTAAGACTGTTGACAGTCTCCTGCAGCACAAAATACAAGAAGCTTTTGAGAAAAAGGAAATTAAGACTGTTGACAGTCTCTTGCAGCACAAAATACAAGAAGCTTTTGAAACGAGGGAGCTCCGCTGCGTTTGACAAGGAAGGGAGTAAAACCATACTAACTGGCATGTAAACAAGAAAGAAATTCCAGGGCCACACATACTCCACTAGAAATACAAAATACTGAAATATCCAGGGATATTAAACGTTGCAAAGAACGGTTAGAACATCTTTAGACTACTAATAAGGCCACTAATATGAAAGAGTATGAAAGTTTGTTCGACCCTGCCAAGCTGTTCCTACAGTTTTATAGATATTTCATAGGACGATTCCACATCATAAACAAGGCTAAAAGAAAAACTTCAATTCCAAGAATTACTAATACTACGTTACGACAAGGAAATTATTTCGATTCTCAACAACTGAGCTGTCCCTACAGTACTGCATGGGGAAGAATTATACGCCGGAAAGCAAGGTCGCTACTAGTAGTTCTCCTCCAAGAACTGCTAGAATGTCATAACAAGGAAATATGTCCGACCAAATGCAACTAAGTTATTGGAACAGCATTAGGGATCTAGGAACTAATTCTTGTGATGGCGACTGTAATTTCCCAAGCCTCCAAAGCACAAGACACTTTTCCGAACATAATTAACATACTTTGGGGCCCGCTTACGTGTTAAAATATAAAAGAAATCCTCCCACTGAAGCTGATGCTGGTGTATATGTGCAGGTCGCACACATTTTCAAGGACAAAAAACTTTATGGTTTCTTCAAATTTTTCACAACACGTGGTATTATTACTTGTATGATACATGAACTAATCGCTCTGCTGTCAGACTTTAAAAAAATAATATAGTCACTGCGACGAATGTTAAAAGATTAAATGGAATTTTGTTTTGGACTTGTCTGAGGAAGAAGACAAGACTTGAAAATTATGGTCTAAAATTTACTATTATATGAAACCAATATGAAGAGATGATTTTATAAATAATTTGTAATAGCTCTTAACGGATATGGCAGTTCTCAAATTATGACTGCTCACCGAGTAACTGTTTATTTATGATTCAGTCCATTATCAATTGTCTGATGGAAATAATTCGAAGTGTTGTCATTCCATGCAAAGACGAAAGCACTGCGTCATTTTTTTTGGGGGGGGGGGTTGATTTCCTTGCAATTTATAAAAAATAGGAGCAATAAATTTGGTATAAAACTGTTCTAACTGGGCCTATAGAACTGTCACGCCTGGGACGTCAGAATGTGTTGTGGTAAGGAAGTCACATTGGATGCTCCAGTTTCATCCGCTGCGGTCATGAAACTTGTTGGAGGTTTTTCTGACTCACCTATTACTACAACGCTCAGTTTATTTGGTTTAGGGCCGAACAGGAAGACAGACTCTAAATATTGCGAAAACAAAAACGAAGAAAGGCAAACAAAACACAAAAGAAAGTACCACGAAGTTGTGTTGACGTGGACAGAGAGAGACTTAATACAAGTAATTTTGTTCACGGGGAAGGAAGTTCACACAAGGGAAAGCATAACTGGAAGAACCAGAAATAATAATTGGTTATAAAACTTCGAAGTCATTTTAAGAACTCTGCGAACAAATAAATTCATACTCTGCTTTCAAAGAACAAAATGTCTCCGTAAGAAGATAGTTGAAATAATTTTGGATTCAACACTGATAAATGCACTTGTTCCACAAAGCTGTTTTCAACAAGCACGTGCCTATAATAAAAATCAAGGCAACAATTACTATGAAATCGCAGTCTAGTGAATCTAATAGCACGACTGACAGTGATTCTTGATCCGTGAATTCTTCCTTGCAGACATGCCCACGATACAACGAAATTCAAACAAACAGCAGTGTAGTAAATGTGAATCGTATTACTGTGTGTAATGTTTTCTCGTAAACCACAAAGCAGATAGAGGGTAGAATTATGAAGAAAATCTAAAATTGTTCTTTTTGAGAATCTTTATTCATGAAATTTGTGAAAATATAACGTAAAACTGTTTACATCAACGTTATTAAACCTTTAAAATAATAAATGTTATTCATATGTTTCAAATATTAAAACTTCATATCTGACGCTAGTAAGTTGCTTGTACAATTAACTGCCACATACACTTATACTGAAAGTATTTCGACAAAAATATTTATAACCTAGAGCATTCAATTATTTCTGGGCCACGTATAACAGTTTATTCACGGGGCCGTGCTGAATACAGGATCAGAGGTACAATACACATCACGTGGCTCTACAAGCAACATGGTGTGAATTACCTGAGATAACAGTCGAGGCGATACTCTGAAAAAAGAATAGGATGTACTCGTTTGAACGAGTTTACAGTCAGTCAACTGCTTTCACTGCTAGCTTATGTAAACTAATGGACAAGGAAATTGAGCTCCAGTCTTCATAATAGCGATTCCATTTAAATTATTCGCTCTACGGTCACAGTATATGTGAACAGAATTACTTTAACGGATCAAAGGAATTAAGGTTATGCAGCATCCCTCCCCGTTGTCATTCGTGATGTCACAGTACTTGTACTGAAAGCAATTTTAATCAACATCAGTGCTGAAATATTTGCACATCTGCAAAAAGAAAGGCAGAAAATAAGTTTGCGTGTGGCCATAGAGTCCCCTCCTCTTTGTGTGGGGAAAAATTGTTGGGAGGACAGGCAAACAGTGAAGCAGTGTTGTGCTACAGACAGGAGCCAGCTGACCGATCCACTCACGCGAACAGTAAGTGTAACTTAGGGTATGTCGTGGACGTGGAACACGTTTTGGTCAGGCAATCATACAAACGGTCACCATCTCGCCTGCCGAAAGTAAGGAACGAAAACTAGAAATGAAAAGCGGTGCACTTGTAGAATATTATTTTTACATTTCAGTTCACAAAGTTTGTTAATCCATCTTTTTGTAATTCAAAAATAAAATTTTGTTTTAAAATTTTTTTCTTGTTAAATACATTTTCTAAAAATTTGTACCAAATAATTTTAAATTACTTTTAAAATTCCTAAAAATATGCTTATTTATAATGTTAAAAATAATTATCATTCGTTAGTACATTTAAAACTAATTAAATAGTAGAATAAAGACAGTTATATATATTACATAGGTTTAAAGGAATATTTAATAATATTATTAATGTGATTGAGTAAAGGAGGTTAAGATACGGTGGACACGTAGCGCACACAGCGGAGAATAGATGCACAAACAGTTTTAGTCTAAAAACAAAAGAAATAGACTATTTGACAAACTTTGGTTTACATGCGAGGATAATAATAAAATGTATTAAAGAAATTGTTGTGATGATATCGACTGCATTAAACTGACTCAAGACAGGGACCAGTAGCAGGTTTTTGTGAATACTGTAACAAACTTTCGGATTCAATAAGAACAGAGGGATTTATTGACCAGTTTCAGTGTTGTTGTTATTAAACGGGCACTATTATTTGTGAGCCACAAATTTCCACAAATGAACAGTGATAATCATCAATCTATATTTTCTAACGAGTATTTTATTGGGTGTATCATCACAGGTGTGTCTCGACATGAATTAGTTTGCTATGACATTTAAAATTTAAATGCTTTTCTATACAACACGACAGTTCACAGAGTTCGCAGTGTGTGGTAACTACTAATCTTGACCAACCGCTGTGCCTTTGCCTGGACATTGTTAGTAATTCCTTATTTCTTTTATTTTCATAGCGGAACTTCTCTCGTCTTCAAATATTAAAGTTTCCTGTGAATTATAATTTACAGCAAAAGAATTACATAAACGCAAAACGCAGAATATAAAGAAAACACGGAAATAAGTACACGAAAAATTATAAAAGGCCTTAGTCCTTGATTTAGAGTCCTGTTTGAAACTGAACTACATTGCAGTCCAGTGTTTTGAAGAGGTGTTTCACGGACTCCTGATGGTCCGCGGCTTAATATCAGCCAGTTCTCGACGTGATAAATGCTGTCTATAGTTTACCACGATTACAAAAATTGTACTTTACAATTATTGGTAACTACGCGATATTTTTAGATTTTATTTTCATTTTAGCGACTAAACAGATTACAGTAATATTAATACATTTTCTTGCGCGGAATCTGACAAGGTAAGTCGATTACGATTAATTTTTTTCGGTTATATACCAATGGAACATTTTTTTACTACTTAAATCATTTTATGTTTTATAGGTCTTGATCGTTTTATTTTCAAATGTTTAGTGAGGATAATTATGACGTTTCTTTGATTTTAATTGTCATAAAAGGAGTTAATTTTTATGTTGTAAATCAAAAATAAACCTATTGACATCCTAATAATAAACATAATCGTGAAATATAATTTTTACTGCACAACGTGAGATGGAGTAAGTGCCTGTCTGCGGAAAATTCTGTCCGAGCTTCTTGGTACTTGGAATTGTTGACACTCAGATTTACTTTAATAAATGCGAAAATCAGAAACTACACTGCACCGAGAACATTGCAACTTTATTACCAGTTGTATTTCTAGATTTGCTCTTAGTGCTGAAGTGTTAGCATATCGTTATATGAATTAAAAGTAAATTCTTAGCTCACAGAAAAATATAAACTGCATCTCTGGACTTTAAAATAATGTGAACGGATTAATATCCATATTTCGGTTTATTTGAACTCTGTAACGAAAGTAATCAGACAGGTAAGTTACTGTGTACTTGACATGAACTGAGTGGGGCGAATCCACACACAGAAAATTGTGTCTGTCCGTCAGTATGTTTCATGTCCGAAACCTCTGAATGTACTTCATTTAAAAATTGTGTTAGTCTGAGTTTAAAGCATGGTGGACGTTGCTTCTTACTGGTCTAATATGAACTCGAACATTCTTAACCCTGCATTAGATGGCGGTGAGTCGGCCAGCTTTACGCAGCGGGCCCCAGAACTAAATTGGTTATTTCCGCAAATCGAGACCTTGTCGTCCAACCCTTAGCAGGGCACATTAATTTTTAATAAACTACGACATGTGCGCGTAACTAATCAATTCTGGTGCATTCATCAGGTTTAACCTATGACCTCTGCGACGCTAGCAGTGAGATCAAAAGCGTGACTCGTGGATGACGTCGTCACAGTGATTGTCCATGTGTCTGTGTGGGCGCCTTTGTTACTGGAATTCCTCCACACATTCCTATGCCCTCAGGTATTCATGTAACGTGCGTCGACAAATTGTAGGAAAACTTTCCGTTGTCAAACTTCATGAAAATTCGTTCAGTGGACATCTGGACGAATAAGGCGATGATAATATATTTTCGTCACTTTTAGATGCGAATTTGTCTTGTCTTACAAAATGACATTGGTACAGTGCACGGCACGACAGATTTATAATTCTACTGATCTAAATTCGTACAAAAGAAGCATAGTTTCATTCTCTGTGCATTATCTGCGATAGGCCTATCTGAACAACCTTACAGTGCAAATGACTGAATTTTCGTAATTACAAAGATAAGCAAACAGTTAAAGGAAAATGAATAACATGTTAAGATTAAATACTGACACAGTATGCCTACTTGAAGATGTCGTATTTTCTACGTAATAGTCCTATATTTCAATGCATTTAGTTCAGCAAGCCTCAAATTGTCCGATTCCATCAGAAATGAATAGGCAAATATTTGGTTGGGTATTAAGTCATTCTTACAACTCTTTTCAGTAATTTATTTGAATTTCATATGCAATTCCGTGGAGTTAGTGTTTTCTGAAAATATTAAATCAGGAAACGACCAACAAATATTTTCCGCTTTGAAGTTAATTGTTATAAAGTCACATAATAAGTTTGTTTATAAACTTCAAGGATATCAACGATATTTCTTAAAGCATGATATGTTGCACGCGTTTCTCTTTATAATAGTAAGGCTATTCCATTGTCATCAAAACGGGTAGGTTCCAAATGACTGAACAGGGAGCACGTTTTTATAAAAAAATATTTAGTTTAATATTACTTTATTGTAAAGCCTGACTAAACTAAAGAAATTGTCCAATTCCATGTTCATTCATAACGGAAGACTTAATTGGGTATTTTCTGATTCAGTACACAATTAATCACTATTTTACAGACCTTATTGATCTCGATATTAATTTCTTTCAGGTACAAATCTTTTGTTGCCGAGGTAATCACAATACAGACGTTAAACTGCACAGAGTCACAAATTATTTACATTCTAGTTTGTTAAGTATTCTCGCCATATCGAAAAAATCATCAAAGTTGTAGACCTTAATGATGATGTGAGTTTGGGAAACCTGTTAAGATCAGTTTGAGCCAGTATTTATATTAGACCGATTTATAAGAAAGTTAAATTTCTCTAATAACACGTTAGCTCAACCAGAATGCCAAAGAGAAAGGGTTTCTACCCTCTCCATTTTTTAGCTGAAGACTGAAGCACACTCAGCTTCCGAAACGTTGAGTTTATTTGTAATTTATACGATGGACAAAGTCCAAGAAACCAGTTTTACAATTCTAGTGAAATTTTTGAACAGAAGGAAGTAGGAAGACGACCTTGTCGTTGTAGGTTTATATATGCAGTTCGTTCAAAGAATTAATAAAGGCTCCCGCACGCTTACGACGGTGTCGTTAAAGTAATGCATCTTCCAGCGATGCTATTTCCACTTACAAAGTCACTCTTTGTTATAACAAGACTTGTGCTCTCGTTAACTCAGTTAATATCATCAG